CAATACCGTGCCTCCTGGTAAATCCTGACGGGACGGCCGGCTATTAATGCCGCAGCTTCGCAGTACTCCGGTCTCGTAGTTCTAACGCGTTGGCTCCGAACAATCGTGGTACTGCAACTGCAGTAATGAATTTTCGGATTTACGCGGCGCCACCGGTGCACCGAGCTCGATGTATTTTCCGCCAACGAGTGGTTAGACCTTTATCCCCGTGCGACATTTGGCCGGGGGCCACACTTTTCATCGCGATAACCGTGTGCCACCTACCTTCTCCCCCTCCTCCTCCTCCTCCTCCTCTTCTTCCTCCTCATCCTCATTCTCATCCTATATCTCACACTTCGTCGCCAACGAAACTCGCGAATTTTCCAAAAACGAAACGCGATCAACTCACTTCTATCTTCTCTTTTATCCTCACTTCCTGCCTCTTTTTTCCTCTTACATACATATATATATATATATATATATATATATCCATAAACCCTCTTGATTTGTTAATACGTATCCTGTCAGATTTCCGGCTTTGTGGAATACGATCGATATCATAAAAACGAGAAAGAATGTAACGTCGACAGAATAGTCGACGGTGAACGAATTTAAAAAGAGAGAGAGAGAGAGAGAGAGAGAGAGAGGGAGATTGACCACACTTTTTACGCTTTTATTAAAAAATCTCTATGGTCTATCTCTGATACGATATTTTTATGGAAATCATTGTGTGCCTCAAAGACTATAAAGTTCTGTATTCGTAATGTGCTCGTATAGATGTCGAATCATCGTGTGCTATGAGAGAGATAGAAAGAGAAAGAATGCGAGAGTAAGAGAGAGAGAGAGATAGAGAGAGAGAGAGAGAGAGATTTTTTCCTATTCCATTTGGACACACGATGTCTCTCGATTTCTCCGTCTGCATCTTTGCGGAAACTTCCAGTTCTGGTATAAAAGTATCTCGGCGAACGTTTTAACGTACTTTCAATATTACAAAACTTTCCGATCGATAGAAAAAGAAAAAGTAGAAGAAAAAGAAGAAGAAGAAGAAGAAGAGGAGGAAGAAGAAGAAGATCTCTCTCGGATGGATTTTAATAAGCGCTTGCTCTCCTCTCAATGCCTCCATCGAAGAAACGCCCTTTTCGCTGTTTCATTATGAACGATGAGTAGGTACACCCTCGAACCTGAAACTCTCGGCCATTTATCACGCAAAAGTATTCGAAACGAACGTTCGAAACTGGGATGAAAGAGTTATTTAAAAATTAATGATATGCAAATCGAATACTTTCGAATATATTCTTTATGATAAACGAGATATTATTATCGTTATATTGTTAGTTCGCATTATATCCGACATAGTTTTCTATATGATTTCATCGATTCCGAGGATCGATTCTCGTTCGAAAATTGAGAACAAGTATTGAACGTGTACATTGATATCTTTATCGTTCAAGAACATTCGTTTCGACAAAACTGACGATGGTCGAGGAGAGTCAATGGATTCTTGGTATCTTAGTACTCTGACGTCGTTACGCATCGTTCCTATGGAAATTCAACGTGAACCTCTTGGTATCTAGGACAAACCGATAGGCCGATACACTCAACCACTTCTCTTATCGATAACGACGTATCCTATGTTTGAGCTCCGGCGAACGGAATATTGCACTGTTGCGGTAACCAAATGCACTTAGATATACCGAAACATCTCGTTAGACCGACAACGTGAATATACAACGTTTACAATAGCCACACGGTTTCACCTTTCACGAAATTGTGGGTAGATCGAACGAATTGAATCGAGTAAAAGAAATAAAGAAAAAGAGAGAGAGAGAGAGAGAAAGAGAGAGAGAAAGATAGATAGATAGAGAGAAAGAAAGAAAGAATGAAAAAGACAGAGAGAGAGAGAGATGGAGAGAAAGGGAGAAAGAGAGAGATGGAGAGAGAAACAGATAAAAGAGAAAGAAAAAGAGAACGAAAAAAAACATTCGAAATTTATTTGCAGTAGAGAGCTACAGTTTGGAAGACAGACCAAGGATGGGAAGGACAGACACACGGTCGAACGGATGGACGGATGGACGGATGGACGGACGGATGGACAGACAGACAGACAAGCAGACAGACAGATAGACAGACGGAAAGAGAAACGGACAGAGAGATGAACGGAGGGGATGTCCGGAGGGATGCGTGGATAAAACGAAAAGGCAGCTAAATTCGAAAACGTTACGCACTCTGCCCTGAACCTCGGGGCCAGATACCGAGCAAAAGAGGATTTTCATCGATTTCTGATAATTCGAAACGATCGGTTCGCCGATAGGCTACGGTGAAATCGCTCTCTGTCCGGCTCCTCTCGACAGTGAATCAGTCTGAGCGAGATCTCGTTAGTCGTTTTCGACGCAAACGGCCTGGCCACGCATACATACGACTAACACATACGTACATATATATATATATACATATATATATACACATTATATATATATATATATATATATATATATATATATATATATATACGAGGGTTTCATAAATCGTACCGACGTGTTTTCCTCCCGCATTTCGAAATAAAAATGTCGACAGCGATGATGCTTCTTTTTCATTCTCGATTGCTTTGAAACTCGGATCTGATTCGGGAATCTGGATCGAAAGGGGTGAGTAGTAGGTAGTATATTGACAAAAAAAAAACTGTCGAAATTCTGAGAGAATAAGTATCGTTGCGATTTCATTTCTTTTTTTTTTCTTTTTTTCTTTCTTCCTTTCCTTTTACCTTTCTGTCTTTTTTCTTTTATACACAGAGCATAAAGAAATATAAAATAAAATATAATACGTAGCGTGATCATTTTGTCATATCGTTTTAATTCGAATTCATATATAGGGTTTAGAATATGCGTCGAAACTCGTTGCAACTCTGAATCATTCAGGTTGATCACTAGAAGCCCCTTCGTTAGCTACGGTGACTAGCTAGTTAGTCGTGTATCCCACTAGATACTAGAACACCTATGTCTATATGTGAGTATGTAGGTGTGGATAGAGGAGGATGTTGGTATGCATGCGTTCGAGCAAACCCCCACGTGGCTCCTATGTGGGTTGACCGCGTATTCCAGAAGGGTAAGAGACCTAGAGAGAGAGAGAGAGAGAGAGAGAGAGAGAGAGAGAAGAGAGTACATCGTAGTACGGTTTCAACATGTACGCGCGCTGAGAGACCACACATGACGCCTCTTAATTAACAAAGCTACCTGCAGAACCGACAGAGGTAGTAGTAACGCCAAGTACCGTCAAGAGGATCTCCCTCTTTCTCTCCCTCTCTTTCTCTTCTCATTTTCTCAAATAAGAGAAACGATAGGTTGGGGTCGAAGTCAGCATCATAAAGAGAGAAATCGATAAAGAGAAAGAAAGAGAAAGAGACAGACAGAGAGAGAGAGAGAGAAAGAGAGACAGACGGACAGACAGAGAGAGAGAGAGAGAGAGAGAGAGGATGATAATGAGAACATAGAAAAGGAAAGAAGAAATAGTGGATGAAGAGAAAGAGAGAGAGAGAGAGAGAGAGAGAGAGAACATATAGTGAACTTCCTTGTTTCTCGAGTCACGTGCTTTGTTATTTTACTCAGTGTCCAAACTAGACCTCCGTTGTCCTTTCTCTCTTTCTCTTTTTCTTTCTCTTAGCATTTCCACTGGTGGATGCACAGAAACACGTGTAACCGTGAGGAGATTGTTCAACCGAGTTTGAAATAAGGATTCCAGCGAAAAAAAAACTTTTCCTTTCTCGAGCATGAAACTCGTTTACCATCTCGTAGAATCTTTTTCATGCGTATGAGTAAAGCTTTAAAATGGAAGGCTCTCGTTGGTGAGTTTTGAAGGACTTTCCTTTTTTTTCTTTTCTTTTTTTTTTCGAAAAAAACATGAAAGGTGCAAACGAGATGATCGTTCCGAGTTTAGAAATTGGGATTATACAGAAAGGACCGCCCTTTATACACACACACACACACACACATATATATATATATATATATATATATATATATGTCTCTTTTCCCGTGAGATGCTAGTTCGAGACAGATGCACCGGAAAATGTTTTGTCACTCTGCTCGAAAAGGAAGGAAGGAAGGAAGGAAGGAAGGAAGGAAGGAAGGAAGGTATGTATCTGGCTTAACAAGAGCGTGAATCGAACGAACACGGTATATTATAGTTTTCCCTAGGCAGCTAGGCTAGTTCTAGTACCACACTTCCTGTTCGGGAGTATTTGTTCGATGCACTGCTTCTGGTAGTACGGACAATAGGAACACGACACCTATCGTCAGGTCCGGCATTGTATTCGACAGCATTCACGGATCACGACCTTCGTGTCGAAATAACGCGGAGTCGAGTTGTTCTCAATGCAAGTATATACATACCTACGTAGTAGTTTTTATATATATATATATATATATATATATATATATATATTTATATATTTATATATTTATATAGGTATATATATGAATACGTATAAAGTCGATCCCCTTACCAAGACTTTGTTGTATCGTCATTCTGTTTAACGACGAACCCCGACCGATTTCTTTATATCGATTCGTATCGTTTTGGCCTGAGAGATACCTTCGAATCCAGATGGAAATCGGTACGAGTATATATACATATATGCGTATATATATATATATATATATATATATATGTATATGT